TCCTCTGCAAATTTACAACAAATAAGAAAGTTACCACCTAAAATGAATTGGATGGATCCTAAACTTCTGCCACATTTCTAAACTGCTCTTCCTCTGCCAAAGTTGGGTGGCTAAATTAAAATGCAACTTGGCATGCACAGAAATAAACAAAATCCCTCCTGCATCCTAAAGAAGAGTTTGAATAAAAGTAGATGCTAAGACACAACCAGTGTTCAGATAGCTTTTTTTTTTTTAATGCTTCCTTCTGTTTTCAGTGAGGATGGAATAAGCAGATGGTCCAGTATGACTGTATGACTAAAATTGTCTTACAATTTACTGAAAATCAGAGCATTTGACTGTAATTAGAGCCAGTTGAGGTAGACCCTGGATCCAAGAACCAAAAGTGAAAATGTGCTCAGTAAAAACAGTGGGAGTAGGAGAAACCAGTTTGTAGGTAGGGTTTTAACCAGAAGCAGCAGCAAATAATGCTGCTTTTAATGTGAACTAAAATCCAAGGCATTTGTGTCCGTCAGCTGAAAACCAAATATGGGCTCCATAACATTAAGTCTGTGAGATTGAACTGGTGTATTTTGATTCTGAAGAACTGTAAGATAAAGCTGAGACTGGGTAAAAACCAAACAATTCCTTTGGGAAGATTCAGCCCCAGAGAGGGAATCTGAAATCCAGTTCTCCACTCCCACCCAGTGACAGACTTGACTCAGATTATTGCTGCAGATGATAATGAGTATTTTAAAGAGCTAGACCACTGAATTTAAATAACAAAGATCCATACAAATGCTAGATGGTAGCAAAGTTGCTTGTAGATTATAATATAAGAAAAGGTGTAATAAATAATAAGTTACTCATTACTTTTTCCCAAAAAAAAATTTCTGCTTGTTTAGGAGAAAGAGTTTGTTCCTCAGGAGAAACTAATTTTGGAATGCCCTTAGGATTTATGTTTGATCTGGTATTGTTTATTATCCTCATATTTTGACAGTGGTGGCAGGTGTTGTGAGAGTGGAGGCTCTGAGCCCCTTCATGAGTGTTTCCTGGACACTTCCACTGCTCTGGGAGTTTACAGAGACACAAGTGGCAGTGTTGCCACAGCTCACAAAATTCCCTCTTGACTGTTTCTTCCTTGTGATTCCCCTCCCCTGTCCCCCATCCCATTGAAGCATGACCAGCTTGATGTCAGGTGCAGGATGAATTAGATTTTACATGCCATGTCTGTAAGAAGGCCCCATGCACCCATAGCAGTGCAACCACTTGCCTCTTGCCCTGTTTTCTGAATATGTAGATATTCAGAAGTACTTCCTAAAGCAGTTGTTTGATCAGCCCCACCAGCTAGCACTTCCATTCTCAAACAAAACAGCCTCTTTTTACAGCTTGCTAAAAATAGCCATTCCTTAAAGCCTGAGGACACGGTGATTCATGTGGTGGTGAAGAGGAAGAAAGGTTATTTCTTTTGCTTTGGGCTTGGAGAGGAAAGCTGCTGTGCTATCCCAGTGCCAGCTGGGCTCATGCTTGCTCCCCCTTGGCCTTCATGGCCACATCCCCAATACCAGTGGCTCTGGCATTCCTTGCTCTGCCACCACAGCCTGGCAGCTATTTGAGATGCATGTGCCACATCCCAGTGCCCTCCTTGGCTCTGGACTGCACTGGTGTGCAGTCACTGCCACAACTGAAAATAAACCCGTGAGATGACAAGCTGCAGATTTGTGTCTGTGGGTTTGTGCAGAGCTCACCCAAGGACGAAGGTATTTCTCACGGTTTATAGCTGGGCAGAGAGGAAATGCTCCTACTTTGTCACCATTCAGATTCCTGATGAAGCTCCTGACACCATTGCAAGTGCAGTTTAAATCAGAAGAAGTCACATGTAGAGCTTAGATAGGATTTTTCATGGATTCTGCATCAGCTCTCCCGTGCTCCGCAGAGGTCTCGTTCTGCTGTCTGACACTGCAGTGTGACAGTGACACTGCTGCTAAACCTGCTCCAAGGCTCTGCCTTGCAGCAGCCCCTCTCTCAGGCACGCTTTTTTCTGCTTTGGAGCCCTTCATCATCTCATTCCTTCTGAGGAAGCAGCCCTCAAAAAGGTACTAGTCTTAATGTAAGTGGAAATTGTTCTTACTCCAACGATGTGTTGCTGGAGGATCATGAAGCAGAAAATGACTGGTAGATGTGCGTGCAGCATTTTAGTTGCTGAGCAACCTGTTTCTTGCTTCAGCCTCTTAGCAAAAGAATCCAATTTCAAATAAGATATTTGGGACCCTGGCTGACTTAGTAATAGTGTAACCTGCAAAGACTACTTGGACAGGAAAACAAAATGGCTTTCTTGGAAAACAACAAGCTTTGCAAGATTTTTCACCATAAAGGACCATATATCTGGACTGTTGCTTTCTAATTCCCATCTACCATTTTTTATGTTTGTGTTCTTGAATAGACCTTAAATCATTGTTCTAGATAAAGAATGCCCAGAAGCAGTGGTTTTTATCTACAGCTCATTATCCTTCTCACTGCTTGTGAATTTCACATGTTTTTATTAATAGCATCCTGAGAACTTGTACAACCAGATGATGTTTGCTCCTTTTCTCCTCACAAGCTTGTTTTAACCAGTTTTAATAAAATAAAAGCTTTGGCAAGAAGGCAAAATAATCTTTCTTGTTGATAGAAGGGAAGAATATATGCTTCTAATATTAAAAAAAAACCCAGCTCCCTGTATGTGTCTAGTGATAAGACTTGTCAACTTGAATGATCATGTTTGGGATTTGGGAGTTTTGTTCTTGTTTTGGTTGTTTGTCTTTTTTTTTTTTCCTCAGGCTTGTTTTTTTCAGAATTGCCACTACCCAAAAGGAGTTGGATTTTGTTCTTTTTGTAGTAGAGTAACACACATTTTTCTTGTCTGTCTGTCTCCTGGATTTACTGTCATCATTCACAGGAAGTAACTGTTGATACTTGCCTATATTCATCCACCCAAGTAGTGTTTCCTCCTTTCCTCAGCAGTAGCTTATCTGCAGGCTCAAAGGAGTAATAGCAGTCACACTGAATGGGAAAACAGGAGAATGGACCCCAGATCCTGCTAGAAGCAACAAAGGGATTTTTTTTTGCCATTTTTTTTTGGTACAGATCAGAGAGCAGGATAGAGAAGGTTTAGCTCTGGTTTAGACCTGCGTTCCAGTGAGAGCTGACAGTGTACACGTATCCAAGTTGTGTCACTCACACAAGCTGCTTCCTCCAGATTATTTAGTGTGAAATAAAGGTTTTCAACTTTGATTTCTGGATACCCTTCTTAAAACAAGTAAAATCCAAGCTTGTATCCAGTCTTGGAAAGCATTTATTTTTTTCAGTGTTGGCAGTAATGACTAGCTGCTGGCAAGACTGTGTATTTGAGGGCAGAAGATGTCTTCCTGTGCCTTGTGTAACGTGTGTGAGGAAGGGGTTGCATGTGCAGATACCAGGACTCACTTCACCCTTTCTTCATACTTTAGATTGAGTACTTTTTATACATGAGATGTATTTTACAGGATTTTTGGGGCTGTGACAGTAGGCAGCAGATGGAAGAAGTTGTCTCCTGGCTGCTGGGCTTCATGCGGTTGATCCAGTTTATTTCTGCATCTTTTAGCAGCTAATTGTTCCAAAGTCACAAACTCAATTGTCCTGTGAGAGTTTGCTTTGGAACATCTTTCCTGAATAATCATTGCTGATTTTTGCATGTTATTTCTTAATCTAATTTAGAAAGGACAGGATGTTTTTAAGGATCAGGACAATAGTTACGCAGCTCCAGTGGCTTAATTTTCCTGTGTGGAAATCAGTGGCACATTCATTATGGGACTGGAGCTGCTGTTTGTGCACACAGCAGTTAAGCTTAAAGCCCCCTTGGTAGAGGTATTTAAGAGTCATTTGTTATGGAAAACTTCAGACTTTCATGTTAGGGGCACGAAATACTTAGTATGCAAATCCCATACTGCTGTTTATGGATAACATATTAAGAGTCACCAACACTGTGGTTGCAATTAGGGACTTGAGACAAGTGTGCAGCCAGCCAGATAGGTGGAAAATAACCATGAAGAAGGAAAGACAAGCAACTGCTTTAAATTATTGCAAGGGAAATTCAGATTAGACATTAGGAAAACTTTAACAGTCTGAGGAGTTAGTCACTGAAATAAATGACCCACAGAGAGGAAGGGACCTCCAGGAGAATTGGACCAATGCTGGTCAGGAATCACATGGACAGTGTTGGTCCTGCCCTTGATGAGTTGGAGGAGCAGGCAGCCTCCCCAGGTCCCCTTCACTCCTCTGGCTGGCAGCACAGTTTATCTTAGTCCAGTTTCTTATCCCTAATAAATCAAAAAAGTCCTCTGGCTCTTATTACACTATCAGCTTGTTCTGTACTAAATATATCCTCCTGCCTTGTAGCTGGGGTTTGCACACCAAGGCTCCTGCTGCGTGCAGTGTGCTCCAGGCTCAGCACTGAGCAAGGTGGCCTTTTCATCAGGTTTCTAGAAAATACATGTAACTGGGTCTTGCTGGTTTGCTTTTCATGCCAATATTTGGAACGTGAAGTTCTTATGCTCTTCACAACGTTAAAAATCTCATCAGATGCTGTTATTGAAAAAAAACAGCATCTTTCTTATAATTTCCTGAGTGTGGGGTTTGGGGTTTTTTTCCCTCTGTTATCAAACTTCTATTCAATCCAGTAAAATGGCTAATTTTAGCATCATGCCAGATGTTTTGTTGCTGTTGTCTGTGTATCTTAAAACTGGTCTGTAAACCAACTGGGATTAGATTTTTTTGGGGTTTATTTCTGCCTTACTCGAAATCGGTGCTGTTCCTTGCCAAAATGAATGCCATTCCTTCATGCAAAGTACAGGGGATACAAAGCTGAGCTAATGTGGTGCCCATACATCCTCAGTGAACACCCAGGGGGCTTTGAGAAGAGAATTGAATCCAGACCTTGAAGATCTCATCCTGTGTGGTGAATATGTAATTCTTGACAGTGACTGAACTATGTGACTGTTTTGCAGGAAAAGAGAGTACAAGTGTCCCCGCCGTTGACAAGAGGACCAAGTGCCTTTATACCAGAGAACGAAGTAAGTTTGCAGTTAGCTGGGCTGGGTGATAGTTTTGAAAATAATGACACTGAAGGGTGATTCTTTGACCCTGCTTATTCCACAGTACCTGGATGAGCTCCCTGGAAAGCAAAAGCAATAGTTTCACTGGAGCAGGTTCCAGTGGGTAAGGCACACCGATCCTTTCACACAAGTGGTACTGTTTGACATCTTTTCTGTCACCAGCATTCCCAGAGACAGCCACGAGTGACAGCTCTGCTCTTGTCGGGTGGGGGTGAGCACATTATTTATAATGCCAGACTTGAGGGGAGGCCAGTCCTGTATTGCAGCAGTGTGATTATGTAGCTCTCAGAGCAGTGCCTGCCCTTCAGTTTGAGAGAAGCTGCAAATATGACTTCACTCCTTAGACTGTAGCTGTGGCTCTTGAGAGAATTTATGGTTGAAAGGTAAAAGTGGATTTCGGACTTGAGATTTCTCCCATGACAAATGCCGACTGTGGTTTGTTAAATAAACCTTTCTCCCCCATTCCTTGTTATGAAACAGTACAGCAACTAGAGAGGGCTTAGTGATAGAATAGTAACACACTGAAGTGATGATAACACTACTGGTGTCAAAGGCTGCTTTATTGTTGCAATAGAAAGAATACGGGCAGAGAAATAATGACTTAATTGTAAAGGTTCCTGTTAACATGCCACAAGGCTTTGAAAGAAGAATTTAAAAAAAACATGTCTGTGGATGGAAATAAATCAGGAGGAAGTACATGCACAGTATGAAGAGGATAGTAATAGAGATGGAGATAAAGCTTAGAAATAATCATATGGCATATTGCTATGCCTAACATAGCAACAGCACAGTCCTTCAGGATTATATTTTGATTCTGCCAGCAGAATTTCTTTCTATAACTTGCACTGTTACAAGGAAAATTCCTGACAAGCTGGGGAAGATTAGAAACCTTACCAGAGACACAAAAAATATTATTTCCCCAAGAAACCACTAAAACAGACAAGAATCTCTTAAATACATGAGAGATACACTTGCTGAAGAATAAGGGGGACTCCTAGGAGTGGAGTGAGGTATATACAGGGAGATAAAATGGTCTCCAATGTCTGAATAAAATTCTGATGGTAAAAACTTTAATAAAGAAACTGAGAAGGCATCGATTTGGGTGTAAAACATAGAAAAGCTGCCATAGTGAAGATACACATGTAAAAATGATGGAGCTGCCTAACTGTGTAGCTGCTTCTTCCATTTCTTTCTGGGCCCACAAATTAAACCAGGAAAGCACAGTGGTGAGAAATTAAAATGTAGTATTGCTTGTGTTTCTCTGTATGTAACTTATCTATATGAGATCTAATAGAAAAATATTTGAGACATGGTCCACTCATCAGCCCATCATAAAGAAGAAAACATATTTCAGCAAAAGCATTGTGCTTCTTGGTTTTGGGCATTTCTAGCTTCACATGCAGTAAAACAGCTAAAATATGTTCTCATTTCATGGTGTTTGCAATAGTAAGCTGGCTGGTTTATTACTGCACAGTGTCAGAATAAATACTGGGTATTCTAGTCTTGTGCTTGTAACTTCAGTGGTGAACATGTTGAGAATGGCTGTTCCTGGTGATAAACACTGAGTAAGAGCACTCATACTGTGTCAGGGCTTGCAATGCAAGAGCTACTTACTGTTCTGCTGTTTCATTTCATCTTGTGCCCAAGGTTTGGAATGGTTGGAATAATTAAAGAACAGTTTTTGTTTAAAGAAAGCATTAAATTCCCGCTCTAAATAATACCTGAATGTTATGGACAAATTAGCATTTGATCTCCTCTTCAATTATACAAGCACAGAAGGGGTAGATTGCCACGCTGTCTCTATAATTTGGTTACATAATCCAGTTCCTCTCCATTAATTTTGAAATTGATTTTGGGGCTGAGTACTCAGGTAGTGTGTGTCTATACAGGTTGTCTTCCATAAAGAATTTACTTCCCATTTAGCTCTTACTTACTTCCAGCTCTCTGTTCAGGTTTGATTTCAGCATTTGTGACTTCCTCTGCTTCAAGAAGATATACAGAATAATGGGTTTGGGTTTTTTAGTATAAAAAATAACACAGGTTCAGTGTAAAGTGCTCTTCACTCCTCAATATACAAGTAGGATCTGTGTATGTGTATTTGCATTCATGCAGGCATGTATGTTTGCAAATGCACACCCAGAGCTCCATCATTGTCTTTACGTTTGGACACGGATAATCTTTTCATTCCACAGTGTGTTTCTGCCCAAGGCTAAAGCTGGAGAAAATCTCTCCCTCTGTTAATATTTCTCCATCTTATTTTCAAGGTTATGCAAGCAAACGGTTTGGATGAACGTACCAATCTTCTTGTGGAAGAATATTCTACGTCTGGTCGCCTGGACAACATCACACAGGTCATGAGTATCCACACTCAGTACCTGGAGTCCTTCCTCCGCAGCCAGTTCTATATGCTGCGCATGGATGGGCCCCTTCCTCTGCCCTACAGGCACTACATTGCTATCATGGTACGTACCAATGGGCTGTGTAACTTCTCCTGCAGCTCTCACTTCTGTATTTTAAAAAAGAAGGAAAAAAAGGAAGAATTCAGAAAGGAGAAATTAGTGGTATTTTGACAGAGGCTGGATTTTTGTTGTAGATTTTTATCACAATAAAGCAAATGTAGCCGGAAGGTTTTCAGTGAGAAGGGAGAATTGGCAACCTGCATCATTCCCTGTTTCCCACAGTGATGCACCTCTCACATGCCCACATCACTGCGCAGCAGTAGGATGAGGTGCAGTAAACTCAAGTCACAAGAAATTCCAGATGGACACTAGGAAAGCAATTGTCTGTGTGAGGATGTTGAGACATTACAGCAGTAACCAAGAAAGGTTCTGTGATCTCCAAGGGGGAAGATCTTGTCTGGACAAGGCTCCAAGCAGCAAGTTCTAAGTCAGCCCTGTGAGCAGAGGCTTATCTTCTAGTGATCACTTCCAACCTAAATTGTATTTTGCAATCCAGAGTAATCAAATGTATTTTTATTGGAGAACCCTCCATACTGTATAGAAATGCATTGCAATGCGTTTGCACAAGGCCTTTTGGAATGACACTGTACTTTTGTTTTGTGTTATTAACCTGTCTCCCACCCACAGCAAAACCAGATTACACACTAATGTGCTGCACCGTTCACTCTGTGTTTAATTATTCCAGGCTGCTGCCAGACATCAGTGTTCCTACCTAATAAATATGCACGTTGATGAGTTTCTGAAGACTGGCGGGATTGCAGAGTGGTTGAATGGTTTAGAATACATTCCCCAAAGACTGAAAAACCTGAACGAAATAAACAAACTTCTTGCACACCGGCCCTGGCTGATCACGAAAGAGCACATCCAGGTACCTCTTCAGTTATGCCCTGTAAATACCAGTAAATGTCTGGTAAAAAGGACTGCCAAGAACTGTGCAAGTGCCTGGTTAGGCTTCATTACCCTGAGTTAAGTTCAGGGAAGTACTAGTGCACCAAACAGGCTGATTCTCCTGTGTGACAAAGCCAGTAGGATTTTCTTTTTAGGAGTAGCATTGGCTAAAATAGCCCAAAAGAAAAAAAAGTAATATATTAGGTGTGTCTTTTTTTATCCAGTGAGAGTTTGTGTGCAAGGGGAATATGGTATTATTGGAAGAAAGAATTGATCCCTTTTTGAAATGTGTAGTGCTTTATAGAAAAGCTGGGTACCAAAAGAAATTTTATATTTACACTTTTTTTATTCTCATTTCAGAAACTTGTCAAGACTGGGGAAAATAATTGGTCTCTTCCTGAACTGGTGCATGCTGTTGTCCTGTTGGCACATTATCATGCCTTGGCAAGTTTTGTATTTGGTAGTGGCATTAATCCAGAGAGAGATCCGGATACATCTAATGGAGTCAGACTTATAGCAGTCAACAACTTCTGTGTCTGTGATCTTGCCAATGACAACAACATAGAAAATGCATCTCTCACAAGTAGCAACTTTGGGGTTAGTGCTGCAAGAAAATTCTTTTGCTTGCCTCTGTTTTGCATTAGAAAACTTTCTTCCATTCTTTCCTGTTTAAATATTAGTTTGAAATTTGTCTACTTTACAGGAATGCTTGAGTCTTACATACACTCTGGCAATTTCCAGTGTAACCTATTGAAAACCACACTGTAACAGTGGATGGTAGTCAGAGCAATGTGATTTTGATAGTTAAACTCAGCACCCATCAGGCAAGACTAAAATGTAGCTTTCAGCAGAAAGCTTAAAGGCCCATTTTCTTTAGACAGTGTGGCATTGGCTGGAGCATTGTCCATCCATGTTCCTAACACAAGGAGTGAAAAGAAAAATGGAAAAAAGTAGAAGTAGTAGTAGTAGTAGTAGTAATAATAATAACAGTTTTTACTTCAAGGCCTGCAGTCACATAGGAAGTTTGAAACACTTCTGTGTAGATGGGAGGAAATGTCTGAAATAAAATTATTTAATTCTTCATGCTGGTGTTCCAGTCTTGAATCAACAGAGAACTTTGATTACTAGCTAATTAACTTGATTAATTTGATTACTAGTTAATTAACTGGACATTTTTTCCTGAAAGTTGCTCTAGAATGCTTTTGAAGGCATGCCTTTGAATTAATGCTGACAGATGAATTAGCCTCACTGCCTTTGATGAAAAATCAGGATTATGAGCAGAGTTGCTAGATACAATTTTTACAATTAGCAGTAGAATGTAAGCATGCCATCACTCAGTTCAATCACTGTGTCTTAAAATTCTGGCTTGTAAAACATGCCAGCTCATGCCATGGAGGTGCCTTACTCCCCCTTTGTAGTAGGCAGAGCATTGCTGCTGACTGTGCTTATTGCTAGGCTTAGCTTATTGCTAAGGAGTCTGCTGGAAACAATTGTAACTATGGGCAAAATAGCAACTCAAAAAAGATGGAAAAGAAAAACCAAATAATTTATCTTATGAAAAATCTGAATGACAGGTACAGGGCATCCAAAATTTTGATGTATTTCTAGTAAAAAGAGGTCTTTTTTCCTCACAAAAGTAAGGAAAAGGGTCAACATAGTGGCTATTTTGGTCACACATGATGAAAGAAAAGTACTGACTTGTCATCTCAGGTTGTGTTTCTCTAAGGCAGTGTTGCACTGCATCTCTTCAGAAACATATTTTGCATTACTAGTGGGCTGAATATAGTTACCTTAGTATGAAAAGTTGTTTTATGAGAGACATAGGGCATGCAGACAGATTTTCCTGAGCTATTTACGTGGTGGAATATGAGTGACTGTGGTTTCCAAACTCAAACACCACTCTTTCCTGTTAATTTGAAGTAAATTAATGCAGCAAGCTACATTAACACTTCCCAGCTCCTGTCTTCCTGCCGTCTGAAAAGCTGTTTGTCTGTGCTGTATGTGGCGAAATGCATTCTGGCTTGAGTTTTTGTGTTTGCTTCTGCTGTCTGGTTTTGAGAACATTTGCTGTCAAGCATGAAATGCGAAGATGACACATGTTGTCTATCTTCTAATTTTTTCAGAATATCATGGTGTTTTTGCAGATTGCAGATTCTTTAAGTGAGCTGGAGGCCCTGATGGAAAGGATGAAGAGACTACAAGAAGATAAAGAGGATGAAGAAGCCTCTCAGGAAGAAATGGCAACTCGCTTTGAGAAGGAAAAGAAGGAGAGCCTGCTAGTAATTAGTGGAGGTATTTGTGCTTTTCCAGTTCAATTCTGTCTGTGCTTTTTAAGAAATAAATGCTTTAGGCTAGTTCAGTGACTGAACCTTTTTCTGTCCATTTCTTTATTCTCTTCATCTAGAAGCAGTGTAGTAAGGGTGGTCTTACCTTCTGCTTCATAACCTTAGGGTTTCTTGATTGATAAATAACATCATCCTTTTTACTACTTGAAATTCAGCTTTTGTATATTATAAAAAAAAAAAAAAGGCCTGTAGGCTTCCTTAAAAAGTAGGATGTACATTTCCCTTTCTTTATATGTTCTGTATCATCAAAATAATTAATTTATTAATTATATTTAATAAATTAGTAATACATATTTGGTAATATTTCACAGGTGTAGGTTCTGTAGTGCTTTCAGTAGCTTTCAGATATGACATTTAGTTTAAGAATTAATTGATGAGACTCAACTACTTTACCATTTACTGCCCACCTGGAAAGGACATTTTCAACTTGCTGCTCTGAGTGATCATACTGCTGTGCTGTTCCACTGCCTATCTTGTGATAGAGATTGATAGCATTTTTTTACTCTTAAATTATTTTCCAAATTTTGAGCTGAAACCTTCTTTTCCCATATTCTTCATATGCTCTGGAGTCCTTCATCTTTGACAAACTACAGAATGAAGTCTGCCTTATACAGACAGGAAGGTGGGTTTTTTTCCCAAAGAAAGTGTTAGAAGAAAGAATATTATTACAACAGAATCTTTAGCTATTTCCTCATAGTAGAAGCTACTTGATTGCTTGCTTGGTCTTTTTAAAAAGTGACCACTAAAATGCTTCACATTTTACTGCACTGTTCGTAGCGAATTTAGGTCTCCGCAGCTTCAGACCAAACATGTTTGAAAGAATCAACAGGTTTGTGCAAAGCCCCCAAAATGGAGGAAGAATGTACTGAGGATCATCAGCAGAGATATTGTTTTGTGGCTCTTTAGGAACATGGAAAAATCTCTGAAAGAAGACACATCCAGCAACCTCAAGCTGGATTTTTTTAAATGGCCATTGTAAATTCTTGCTGTATTTTCCTTTGGTCAGGCAGTATCAGCAGTGCAGATAAATGGACACTCATTGCAGTTTCATTATCAAAACAGGACTTACATGAGTCTGTGCCACTTCAAGTGTTTAAGGAAAGGGGTCATTCAAGACAGGAGGGGTTTTTGGATGGGGTTGTTGATAGTTTTGTTGACTTTCTTTCCTCTTTACCATTTACTGATTTCAGTTGAGGAGTCTGTGTGTGTTGAGCCTTTACCCTTTCATGAAACCCAGTCCTTGTCAGGGCAGAGGAGAGTATGTGTGCAGGTTTTTTATTCTTCAGTGAGAATTTTCTGTAGCAGATGTTGTCCAAGCCTCTTCCTACACAGTTATGTTTTGATTGTTTAATGAGGCAAAGAGGAGATAAAGCACTTCTGCAATTCTTAGATTAACTGACTTTTCAAGGTGCTAACAGTGGACATATGGCAACTGTTCTGTCAATGCATGTGGAAGCAAGCCACGATTTTAACATCAGGGTCAAATGCAGTCAGCTATGCAGTAGTCAACTTCTGCAGAGGTAGTTACACAATCAAGCCACCTGTTTATTTGGGAGGGAAAGATTGATTCCTGATAGAGAACCTGCGTGTGCTTAACGATATGTTTTGGAGCTCTTTGAAGATGCTTAGTTACTACAGCTTCTGGCAGAATTTCACCCTGATGTACTGTAGAGCTCTTTGGTTTCATATAATCTTCAGCTGATACTTGCCAGTGGAGTGTTGTGTTGCTTTCTGGTGCTCATATTCCAGTTTACAGTGTGATTCCTGACACAAAGGCTGCTCAGTACAACAATCCTGCTATCAAGGATCCATTTTTTGTTTCTTATGCTAACCCAGTGAATTTGCTAATGATGTTCATCTTCCTGACTTAAGATAACTAGCCTGCCTCAGAAGTCAACAGAGGGAAAAGGAAACCTCCAGACAGAAGTGTAGACCAACTCTTGTCTTTTTGTAGAAGTACATTAGATGTCTGGTATAGGCTGACTTTAATGGGCTCAATGAAAGCAATGTATCCAATAAAAGCAGATGAGAATTGAAATGTTTCTTTCCTTTGTACCACTATTGTCCTATGCATAACTTTTAAAATTTTCCTCCAGTGCTGTAGTAGAGTGTTAGTTGGAAGTTGGCGTTAACTCATGTTCTTGCCTAAAGCAAAGCATTTTCCTCTTTTATTCCCAGCATTTGATGATGAAATAGTTTCTACAGATGTCTCCCGTTATGTTGAAGATCCTGGGTTTGGGTACAAAGACTTTGCAAGGCGAGGAGAAGACCATCTGCCAACATTCAGAGCTCAGGTACCATCTCTTTAAAGCACATTCACTCAAAGAATGTGTGCATATCTCACTACAGAGCATCAAGTGGTTATTGTGCGGCATGTTTGTTGCAAGCTCCTTTTCTTATCGTGGTTCATTAATCACAATCTTGCATAAGTCTCCTGAGATGGAGTCTTTCACTGTTTGTCAATATTTGGCAAGGCAATACTTGGCTTTCCTTTTTACTTCAGTTATTACTGAAACATTACCAGCATTAATGTTTGAAAACTGTAAAGCATATCTGAAATAAAAGGGAAAGGTAGAAAAACAAGAATTTCTTTTACATCCCTCAAGATGTTGTAGGAAAAAAATCCACTGGAGCAATTCTGTATTCCTGTCATTTTACTAAGTACTCTCTGTCCAGTGGCTATCAATACCTGGATGCATATAGGTCTGTGAGAGTGATTTGAGGAGTATTGTTCTCATATGTGCACCAAATCTCTGCACTTGGAATGCTGTGAAAGAAAAGGAATTCCTAAATATGATTACTGAAGTTTTTGCTGTATTTTAATGCATTTTTCTCTGTGCTATTTTAAGAACAGAAGATACATTTTACCTGTACATTGTCTTAAGATGTTGACATCCTTTGCCATGACCAGAATCATGAACTTCATATTATATGTAACAGAAGGGACATCCTAGGTGGTTCTGTTCTATCTTACCGAGCACATTCATAAGCAGGCTAGAAGTAAATGGAAAGCAAGGAAGAAATCTTCAACCAAATCAATTAAAATTACAGTGGGTGCAGGAAAACTCTGTGGTCAGAAGATGTATCTAAGACTGTAAAATAAAGAATCCACAATTGCTCTCAGGAAATGTATTTAGCTTTATAGCAGTCTCTACTGAACTGGATAATTTATTCTGTGGTCTTTATATGAGCCTGAAGTAGGTTATTACTGCCAAAAAGAATAAGGCATAGTCAGTGCCTATAAATCAAACAATCTGCCTAACTACTTTAGGAGAAGCAGGCTCCCTTGGAAAAAAGCTCCAAAGAAGTTGAAATTGGAACTGAAACATCTCTCCTCTTAAATAAACAGGACAGCTTCTGGCTTACATTCAAAGGAGTCACCTTGATAATTTAACTTTTTTATGTCCTACTCTTAACAGTTGGATGTATATAACCACAGCTTCCCAAATTCTTTGCTATTAATGATACTTAAATTGCAGTAGCATCCCAAACACCTGCAATAAATCTAATCCTTACTCTGAATGCCTTCAAGCTTGTTTTTGGGGGGAAGGTTTCACTGATAATAGGGATCAATTGCTGTTAGTCAACAGCATTTTCCCCTCTCTGGGCCTTCTGGCTCTTAGAGGCTTTTGTGATATCCTGGACACCTTTCCAGGGCTGTATGGGTATGGCATATTTCTCACATGCCTGTCTTTTGTGCTGGCAGCCAAAGACCAAACATGATGTTGTGACATGTTTTAGATGTCACTGATGCCTCCGTGAGACAACGGAGCCCTGTTCTGCTCTTCCCGGCTGCCCTACTCAGGGGAACAGGACAGAAGACATGCTTCAAGGTGCCTAGTGAGGACCCTGGCCTGGCAGTACCTTTGGAAAACAGCCAGAAACAGGAAGGACATGGAGATGATGCCCTTAATTGCAAAGATGTCATCAGTGATGGAATGATAGAGCATTTGACAAGGATGTGAGCACACTCTCACCTTCTGTGTGATGGCATTGTGGAGCTCTGGAGCATCTGCCCTTGCTCTGGAGCAGGGTGGTTCTTCCCGCTGTGCCACTACTCTACAATGACTTCCCTCTCCTCATACAAGCACTCAGGCTTTTATCTTACAATCCAGGTGCTTGTCTAAGACCAAAACAGCCTGGATTTTATCAGGTTTTTCAGGGATGGTTCAGCACTTAACCCAATGATTGTACATCCTGGCTGGAAGTAAAAGCTCCATCTCTGCTTGGAGATAAGCACTAAAGCATCCAAGAGGGGCAGGTTTTAACCTTCAAGGCCAATCCCACATGGAATGATACTGGTCAGAGTGGCAAAGCAGAAGAAGATTCCCTAAGCACTTCAGGAGAAGCTCGGGGTTTTTTCTCCTGTAGGCTAATGATATCCAGGGTTGGAGTGTCGCAACGTGATATTCATTGCCAGGAATTCTGGGGGAACAGAGCAAGTAGATAAAGGATTCAAAATGCAAACTTTTGGAAAAGAATAAAGTCATAACTAGCAGACAACAAAAACTGTTGAGTTGTAGAGAAGATAACATAGGGAATTCACTTAATTTGTGCTTTTATATATTTTCTTCTCTTTTTGCAGGACTATACTTGGGAAAATCATGGCTTTTCCCTTGTAAACAGGCTTTATTCTGATATTGGGCATCTCCTGGATGAGAAGTTTCGGATGGTGTATAACCTCACATATAACACTATGGCAACACATGAAGATGTTGATACAACTACGCTAAGAAGAGCTTTATTTAACTATGTCCACTGTATGTATGGAATCAGGTATGGACAAAAATTCCCTGGCTTAGGAGTACATTTTAAAACTATGTAAGCAGAAAAATAAACCATGTGTAAAGCATCATTTTAGACTGGGTGTTGAAAGTGGAGATGGTACCTCTGTCTGGAAGTTAGAGTGGTTTTGCTGGCATATCAGTATAATTTTTCCCTCCAGTACAGAAAATGAGTCAGGATGGAACTCTGAAGCCAGCCTGTATCCTTCATTCAGGAAAGACAACATCCCTAGGCAAGTTCACAGACAGCACCAAGTTGGGCAGGAGTGTTGATGTACTGGAAGGGGGTAGGAAGGCCCTACAGAGGGCTCTGGACAGGCTGGATCAGTGAGCCAAGGCCAATTCTATGAGGTTCAGTGATGCCAAGTGCCGAGTCCTGCATTTGGGCCACAACAGCCCCCTGCAGTGCTACAGGTTGAGGGCAGTGGCAGGGAAGCTGCTCATTGAAAAAGGCCCTGGGAGTTCTGGTCTATAGCAACTGAACATGATGCAGGGTGTGCCCAGGTGCCCAAGAAGGCCGATGGCACCCTGGCCTGGATCAGCAGTGGTGTGGCCAGCAGGAGCAGGGCAGTGACCGTCCCCCTGCACTCGGCACTGCTGAGGCCACACCTCAAATGCTGTGCTCAGTTCTGGGCCCCTCAGTGCAAGAAAGACATTGAGGGGCTGGAGCGTGTCCAGAGAAGGGCAGCGGAGCTGGGGAAGGCTCTGGGGCACAAGTGCTGTGAGGAGCAGCTGAGGGAGCTGGGGGTGTTTAGTCTGAGAGGCTCAGGGGCACCTTATCACTGTCTACAACAACCTGACATGAGACTGGGGGGGTCAGCCTCTTCTCCCAGGTAACAAGTGATAGGATGAGAACAAAGGGCTTCAAGTAGCACCAGGGCAGCTTTAGTTTGGATATTAGCGAAAATTTCTTCACAGAAAGATTTGTAAAGCATTGGAACAGCTCACAGAAGTGGGAAAGCGACCATCCCTGGAAGTGTTCATAAAATGGTGGATAAGGCACATGGTTTAATGGTGGCCATGATGGTGTTTAGGGTTAACCATTGGATTTGATGATCTTAAAGGTCTTTTCCAACCTTATAAATTGTATGATCCTGCTAAGCCTTTCAGATCCTCTTTAACACGTGGGTTTTGGTCATGTGTGATAAATGTTCCAGTTCCCAGGCTTAAGAATATAATGCTGCAAAAGCAATGTTTTTAGAAACTTATGTCCAACAGAATCATTGCTTGTGTTATGTAGGTATGATGACTATGATTATGGAGAAGTTAATCAGCTACTTGAACGCAGCCTGAAGGTTTACATAAAGACAGTGACCTGCTACCCAGAGAGAACTACCAAGCGCATGTACGATAGTTACTGGCGCCAATTCAAGCACTCGGAGAAGGTATGTGCTCCAAAGCCAAAGTGGCTTCACAGAGACCCCTGTGCTGTTTGAAAATTAAAATATGGGGACTCTGAAAAGGGCAGCATCTGTCAAATGAACTGGTTTAAATCAGAGAAAAACAAATGAGTATCATTCCCTGAGTGTTAGATACCAGTTTGACAAAAATACTTCTTAGTGTGCTGGAAATACTTTTTAAATAGTAATAATAATGATGATGATGCTGATGATGATGCTGATGATGAGTCACTTCTCCATAAAATTGAATGGACAACTGTAAAAGAAAAGTGGATAAACTTGAGAATGCAGAAGTGGTCAACTATGCCAGTACTTGGGATTTGGATATCACTAAATACCTAAACTCACACGTGTGTACATGTGTGTGTGTGTGTGCGCGTGTGTGTACTTTATGGTATTTTTCAGCAATAAAAATGTCAATGTGCCTTCATATATCATATTAAATGCTTCCTGAGAAGGATTCAGTGGTTCAGTACACATGTGCCTGCAAACCTGTCTGGCATGGAAACTGTTCCTTATTCTGTGCTCCTATATAATGGTCACAGGTGGTAGTAAAGAACACCAAATATAATTTAGAAAGATCTACTGTCTTTAGGACACAAAGAAATGTTTAAAGGTGGTTTCTCAGATGGAAGATTGCTTAAAGCAGCAGTTGAGGGTAGTTGTTTGCAGTTCTGGGATGTTGTCCGTATTGGCATTACTACACAGCTGTCTCTAGAGGAACTGTAGTCCTGCAGCAGGGTACAGGGAGAAGAGACAAAGATTTCTTGCAGCGATACTTCACTAAAGGATAGAAATTTCAGCCTGAATGAATAAACCATGTTGCATTCAGAGGTGAGCTAAATGGCTGATGTACTTTTTTTACAGGTTCATGTCAATCTACTTCTGATGGAAGCTCGGATGCAAGCCGAACTTCTGTATGCCCTTCGTGCCATAACTCGTCACTTAACCTGAAGCACTCGCTGGCCAGGAGTACAGGGGCTTCTACTGAGTATGTAAAGACCTTTCAAAATAGATACACACCAGAAGCTGTTTGTGATGTAGCATCAGGTTATTCAATTCTCTAGTGTCAAAGTTTAGCCGTGCTTCTTGGCGGCTGTAATGTGCAATGACGTGTTTTATTTTCTTGATGCTTAACATTACTAATGATAACAAAAGTAACACTGAGGAGCGCTACTCTGCATTGTTTCCGGCTGGATTTCTGCACAGTGGTCAGGATCCTGAAACTGGTTTTATTGTATCCAACCCTAGCGCTTTGTTCTTTAAGCACTGGAGTGAAGTGCTTAGAGACTTCTTTTTCCAAGCAATCATTTTTCAGATGAGTGGAGTCCAGCAGAAGATCAGTTCTGCCTGTCCTGAGAACGTCCCACCACGTCGTGACTCGCGACAGAGATGCGCGGGCTGTGCCACATCAAATTGCCCACTGGATTCTCCTGTGTGTCCTGGAGACTGCTGCCAGTCACTGTCTTACTACAGCAATTGGAGGTGATGCGAGATGTGGATGCAAGCATCGAGCACACTTTAATGTGAAATTAATCTTGGTAAATCCTACAGCATGCTACTGAAGTGCAAAATTCATCTGCTTTGTCGTGCCCCTTCACAAAGAGAAGAGGCCTCACAGTTTGCCATTTCAGCCACACTTACTGTGTTTCAATCATGCATAGTCTTGTTTTACTGACAGTCACCCTCAGTTGTCCTGACAATATCCATGCTCATCACGTGTTGCAATTTGTTTAGTTGGCACCTATAAAATTAATACACAGGCTGACCAAAAATAGGGTTGTGGGGTTTTTTGCACTCTCTTCTTTATCAATGTTTTAACTAAGGAAAGTAAAGGAAGGCTAGTATATCTATTCTTTCATATTGGATGTATAAAAATTATTTCCCATAACTTTTTCATAGCATGAAATTGTAATATTCAAAGTTTTAAAAGTTTCTATGCATTAGTGTGAGTGAACAAAAGAAAAGTGCAATATTTAGAAAGAAAGCAAGCTTTTTTCCCTGACATGCCACTGCTAAAGTGTCCTTCTTATATAGCCATAAAGAAATTTTAAAACCAAATTTCTTTATTGTCTAGCAGTTTTGTTTTAGCTTTTATGGCTTAAGACAACCTGATACTCAGATGCCAAAGCATCCCCAAAACAAAGCATTTTTGGACAACCAGTAATATTGGGGAAGGGAAGAAATAAGCTGCCAAAAATGTCACACTTTTGTGCTGTTTTCTGTTGCTTTTGACTAATTTTTGAGAGCACAAAATGTTGATATTTATAGCTTTATTTTGTATTGCATTTAATGAACCAGTGAAGTGCCTAAAGAGATGCTTAAACTTACCCAGTAGAACACCAGTTAACTGCTTCAACTTTTGTCTGTTGATTTGGACTTTTCATATTTCTTTTGAGGAGGGTGACTTTTATTTCTGTGATATATATTCAAAACTAACCGGACAGGTTTATTTTTAATGTTCTGTTGGATTGTAGAAGTTAATGCAGGACTTTTTTTCATTGGTGATTGCAGAACAGTTAGAAAAAAAAAATACTACCAGTCATATTTCGACACTTTTCATTTACAAAACCATGGACCAGTACTCTACTAAAGTTAGTTTTCTCTTTTCTTCCCTCTTCCTGATCCATGCTTTGACTTTGCATGTTGGTTTTTCTGCTTTATCTGTCCGCTCCAGATTGGAAAGCCCGATGATTGTACACTTTTCTGCACTTTCAGACTGCAGACTCTGCATGTGAAAACCTTTTGAGGAAGAAATCAGTAACTATTTTTTTTTAAGTGTCATTTGGCTATTTAGAAAACTACCCAACAGACAGCACTGGTCTGTCTTGTAGAAAGCATCAGGTAGAACATCAGATTTATTTATCTTGTATAGCTAACTGCAAAGATTTCTCAGAACTACTGAGATGCTCATATGTGTGAACTTAGATTTGCTTTCTAAATTGTTGTGATCCTTTCCCCCCTGCTTCTTGTGATTGTGGTGGCCATACCTAATGGCTTCTGCTGAGAGAAGTTTTCATGCAATACTTTTGTTTTTCGGAGTGATGGGAACTGTTCAGTACTGCTTTAAATTTCTTTGCATTGAAAAGTCAAGTAGTTTTCAAAGAAGCACAGTTGAGCTCTGGAAAGGAGGTGAAATTAGATTTGGGTAACTAATATGATGGCTTCATTTCTCCTCAGAAATGCAAAGACTTCCGGAGTAGGTTGAGTTTTACATTTGGAAACATGAGTGCCTTTACTTCTTTCCTTATGAAATATACTTGCCAGCTCAAATGCCTTTATGAACAAAGTGTACATGAGCAGATTTGAAATACAGAAACCATAAATGGATTGCTTCACAGAACTTGTAGTAAACCAGTGTTTTGTTTTGGTTTTTTAAGTGCCATATCAAGTCCCATATGGCCTGCAAGACATTCCATCATAGGAAATGTCATTGTACAGCTAGTTTGGTATTTCTCTTTTTTTTTTTTTTCCTTTAATATTAAATGCAAACTTGAAACATCTGGAAGTGTTTTCCAAGTGGCATTTTTTTTCAAAGTATTGCATTTATAGTGCAACAATTTATAACCTAGTTTTTATACACAAATTTGGGATTTTTAATAGCTGTTTGTTCAGAATAGATGTTTAAAGTCAGACAACACTACCATACACTTTATGCACGCTTTAGGTTCACACTGTGCCAACTTTTAATGTGCAAGTGTTCTTGGATTTATTTTGCATTTTTAAAGCACACATGAATGTGAATCTTCACACCTTTTTCATTAATATTTTTCTTAAGAGTACCAGAATCATTGGAAGTGTAGATCCTCTCCCTTTGTGTTCCTTCATTGGAATTGGTAATTACCAGCATTCATGTTAGTCTACAAAATCCCAGCCGTGACCAACGTAAAAACAAAATGTACAGTCTCCTGTCTACTGAAGAGAAAGCTTGATAGGTACAAATTAACCAGCTAGCACAGGGAGCACTGTGAGTAGGGAACAGAGCTTTTGAGCATGGACAGCTTCTTATCATTGCAGAGTCACTTGAAATGTGTGTTGCTGTAGAGTATGTCCTTGCTGAGATTGCTCTATTTTTTTTGGTAATGAAGAGAAGTGAAAAAGGTGCCAACTGGAGAAAGCATTTGCATTTCCCAGAACATTCTACCCACAGCCAAACTTCATGAGAGTATCATCATACAAGAATAGAAATAATTGTTAAAACAGAAATAATAATTTTAAATTTTGGTGCAGTTTGTGCAGATAGCTACTACAGCTAGTGCTGTGGTGTCCTATGAGATTTTTGGTGAGCTGTAGATGGATTTATTTTCATCAAGGCTGAATTGAAACATATATCCTTTGTCCTAAAGCCTTCACTAAAACGAAAATCACAGAATCATAGAATTTGCTAAGTTGGAAAAGGCCCACAAGAATCATCAAGTCCAACTCCTGACCCTGCACAGGACAGGTCCGAGAGTGATACCATGTGCTTGAGAGCATTGTCCAAACGCTTGTTGAACCCTGTCAGGCTTCCCTGGGGAGCCTGTTCCAGTGTCCAACCATCCTCTGGGTGAAGAACCTTTTCCTGATATCCAACATACACCTCCCCTGACTCAACTTCAGGCCATTCCTTAGAGTACAGTCACTGGTCACCACAGAGCAGAGATCAGGGCCTGTCCCTCCTCTTCCCCTCACAAGGAAGCTGTAACTGCAGTGAGGTCTCCCCTCAGTCTCCTCCAGGCTGAACAGAGCAGGTGACCTCAGCCACTCCTCATACGGCTTCCCCTCAAGGCCCTTCACAATCCTTGAAGTCCTTTGGACACTCTCCAATAGTTTCACGTCTTTCTTATATTGTAGTGCCTAAAGCAGCAAACAGGACTTGAGGTGAGGCTGCCCCAGTGCAGAGCAGAGCAGGACAATCCCCTCCCTTGCCCGACACCTTGATCCTTGAAAAGGATGTATTTCAGCTGTAAGAGTTAAAAAATCTCCACTATCAGCTCTTCCTATGTATTAAAAAACATTTAAGGACAGAAAAATCAGTAAATTTGTAAACAATTACACATGTAAGTATAAATTTAGAACAGATCAGAAGAGAACAAAAAACATTTTGTTGCTCTTTTACTTGAGTGCAAAAAGTCAAAGCACCAGATTCTTAAAGTGTACTTTTGTTTGTAGTGATACTGATATTTTCATGGGATTTGGAAAAAAGCAGCTTGCTGACTAAATTTCAACGGGGATTTAAGCACCCAGGCACTCAGCAAAATCCTAGAAGATGCTCACTTGAATGTTTGAGTCAGATTTTTAAAGAAACTGAGTCACCTAAATAAAATAGAATAAAATTAATTTCCATAGAGACTAAAAGAATAATATGTACCAGGTCCATGTGATTTGCAGTGATTGTTAATGAAATTAGTTGTTTTGGGGACTTAATGTAGACTTAGAGAAATCTCTCCTAAAGCAGTTAAACTGTAAGCCACTGCTCTTGCAGAACAGGTTCTCAACGTTTCTCATGCATGTGTGTTTTCCATGAACATAGGCATGCATTTCAGGCTAATGATCCAGAATCTGGACTCCTTTCAGAAGAGATGGGTTATTTAACCTCTACTTGCAGAAAACATTCATTGGTGGTAGTAAGTGGATAGCATGTGCCTGAACTAAAAATTTTTGGATCAAAAGAAATACTCTAGATCTTCTTGATCTCAAGTGATGTTCTTTCAGTTATTTTCTGTAGATGTTTGGATCCTTCTCCCATAAATAAGGGGTGATGTTGCACAAAACAAAGGAAGAGGGGAGTGGATTCATTGTAAATGAACTTTCCCAGAGCAGATCTGACCATAGAGCTGTAAGAATCAGTTGCTGTTAGCAATCATTCCAAGAGCTGGATAAAATGTCAGTTTTCATTACCTGAACTTCAGATTTACTGTTCCTCATGTCCCCCAGCACTGTTTGTCTGAAGAGATGCATCCACCAACTTCCCTATATTTAGGAATTTTAAGTGAAACATTTTATCTCCAAATAAAAATTAATATAGTATTTCATACCCACTACATAGATTACAGGTGTGAGAGATGGAGAGAGCACAGTAGTAGAGGAAACTTCAGGAGCATCTTGATCAGTGTTAATTTATTCCGTAGAGCACATTTCCTGGCAGGTGGTCGTGCTGCTGCTCCCCCAATATGCATCAGGTCTCTTTTGCAGATATTTAATCCTTTGCTGCTCATCAGGGGGAAAATTGCCATTTTCCAACCTGCCACCACCCCTGTCCTGCATCAAGTGCTTCCTGTCTTCCCAAATCCCAGCCCTGAGCAGCCTCCCAGCTGCAGGGACAACCTCCCAGCCTTAACCTTGAAAGCAAGGTTCCCCTATCACTGCTTGTTGTTAAGTGCCGAGGCTCTTTCTCACATTTAGAAACACTTAATTGTAGTAGATTGTTTCTGGACAGGAAAATGTTAAAAGTGGTTCAAAAGGATGAAACTCAGTATTTGCTTAGTAGTGTCAAAGCCTATCTCTGGAGTTACAGTAAAAAATCCAGTGGATCCACTAAGGAAATGCTTTCTTTGGTGAAATGCCCCATGCTTGAGCTATTCAGCTGTGCAAGTTTCTCAGAGGAACATCTGACAGGGAATTTGAGGTCCCATTCTGCCAGGCAGGCTTACAGGGCATCAGGTTGGCAGCCCCTCAGGTGCCTTGCAGCCAGGCAGGCTGCAGACAGCCTCTGGAACAAGTGGATTTGGGTTTTTCATTTATCTATGAAAAAAAAATCCAAATGCACATTGTAGAGTAGCTGCTGGAGGCAGAGTTGGGTGTTCCTAAGGTACTGAGTATCATCAAGGCATGTGGAAAATAGAAACCTTGTTCCTGACAGTAGTTAAAGGTACTGGAGGTCCCAATTGTTACAGTAATTGTGGGGAGCAAGCCCTGCTGTCGGCATCAGGCTGCACGGACCACAGGCGCTCCCAAGGGGATACGGCCAGCACAGGAGGAGTTGAGGTATTGGTCAGCTGAAGAAAGTGCACTGATGAGTCTGAAAGGTTCTTTTGTGTGCCTGTGCATAGGGGAGGTAGTGGAGGATGCCTCCTTCCAAGGTGTCCAGAGGGCTTCTTTGGGAACAGAGATGGAGCCCTTTCCTTACTCCAGAGATGGACCAGGGGAAGGGAACCATTCTGCCCAAGAAAAACTTGCTGCTGTTGAATTGCATTTTCTCTTCTCCACCAGCCCTTTGAAGGGAGTTTTGAAGCAAAATGGGTAAATCACTAAGCATTGTGTCTCCAGGTGAGGAGTCTGGGGGGCAGCAACAGCAGCAGCTCCAAATACCAACAGTCCAAAACTGTGTCTCATTCCTCACTTCATGCTCATGTTGTGCCACCAAGACCCAAACCTCTTCACTCCAGCCCAGCAGCCATATGCCCAGGTGGCTGCAAGAGCAGCCCACTCACGGTGGTGGGTGATGTGGCCACTTTTAGGGGGAAAGTAATAAAATTTAGGCTACAGCCCTTGGACTCTGCAAGGCAGTGCAGTCAGAGGTCTTTTCACGACTGTGACCAGAACTGGATATTAACTGTAGCTTAGAAAAATAGGAACTTTGTAAACTTGAAATCTCTCAGTTTTACCCTTTTCTCCTTTTGCTGGAAAGCCACACGATGAATGTATATGCTTTATCTTTCTATCCGACATTACTGAAAATCAGACTGCCAACTCCTTGTTTTGTATTAGCCTTTTTTTTAAAAAAAAAAAAGAAAAGTTTGTGAGCAATATATGTAGCATGCTGTGAACGTCTGTTTTGATCTTTATAGTTACTCTTTAATCCATCAGTATTAACACCAGTTCTTTTTTGTGTTCCCCTTGGTACTTCGTATGCAGTGTAAGCAGAAGCTGTGATCGGCTTTGCAGTCCTGTGCCATGTTACTGTAACTCCTTGATTTTTTAGGAAGCACCTGACTGTGGGCCACCCTGGGGCAGGTAGCGTGCCCGTACACGACTGCCACTTTTTGGTCTCTTGTACTATGTATAGTTCTAAGTAGAATAAGCTTTTTAACAGAATATTGATGCGGCTTATGAGTCACGCAGGCTGCAAGTGTCTGGTGTGTGAGAGTCTTTGTATTTATAGTTGTTGGGGTTTGGTTTTTTGTTTTGTTGTTTTGTTTTGTTTTTTTTTAATTCATAAAGTAGCAAACTTGATAAACATAGCCACTTTAAACTGCTCTTGCTAAACAGACCCTGCTGTAGATAAAATACCACTGTAGATACAGGGAGAAGCACCAGCCGACCTCTCTCGACTGTGGGTGAGCTGAGCCCTTCTCGGCACAAAGCACAGTCCGAGCCACAGCTGCGTGTGACCACACGTAGACCCAAACACAGCGAAGTCTGGGGCCTGGTGTCTGTTTCAGCCCCCTGTGCCCATAAGCCTGCTGCTGGCTGCCTCCCACACTGCTCACCAGTGCACGGGGCAAGCATGAGCTCGCCAGCATGAGAGGGATGGACAGACCAGCTGCTGGACCACAAAGATGGTCACAGCACTTCTGCAGCCAAAAAGCTTCCAAGCCTTCTCAAGTGCAAAAACTAGCCCTTGATTTGCTGACAGCAGGGCCTGGCACACTGGGGTAAGAAGCAGCATTGGCTCCCTGTTGGCAGCCATGGGTCTGAGCCCCCTTGGCTGGGGCAGCAGGCAGGGCAGTGCCGTGCCCAGAGAGGGGCGTTTCATTGCATCTCCCACCTCTGACCCTCTGGACAGGGGGTAAATTGTACCCAGCCCAGCAGCTGTCAGCTCACGGCCTCCTTGCACTACGGCCAGGCGGGTGTTTTGGGACGGAGGGTCAAGGACAAAGCTCTGACACTGCAGCTCCCTCCCACCACCAGGAAGTGAGGAAGTATGGTAGCTCTGTGGGTCCCACAGTCCCTACAGCATCCTGTGGGCAGGTGACACATCTCCTGTCCTGCCTCCCAGGTCACCACCTGTCCTGAGCTCCAGAGACAGGCCATGGGCTCCATGCTTTCACAGGAGGTTTGCCTGCAAGGTGAGGCAGCTGTGAGGAGCTCACTGTGGGTTACCACAGCAGCTTTTATCATTTCTTTCCTGTTGTTGCTGGTTGGGTTTGTTGTTTTTTTTTGTTTTTTTTTTTGAAAGGACAGACTGACCTAGTGGGATGGAATTTTTCGTGTGTGACTTTTGTTAGTTTTTTAAGTTACCCGACTTGAATTTATCTGAACAGATGCAGAAGGAACTTTCTTTTTTTGTGAGTTAAGAGACAAAAACTCATTTTTAAACAAATGAATCACGTATTAACATTTTAACAGCAATTCATAAATCTGCACTTTTTATGAGGTTTTGAAAAATCTATTTATAGGTACGGAACAATGGGGTTTGTTTAAAACTGTATCGCATTTATACTTGCTGAAATTACTTTCATTGTTATCAGTAGGAATTTCATTGGTTAAATAAAACAGATAAAACCTGACTCCTGTTTGAGCCATCATTTGCCACATGCTGGGGAACACATCTCTAGAGCAGAACATCCTGTGTTTTGGGACAAATCGAGTCCTTGAAGTGTCCTTCCTCTCCATGCCTTTGTAGTGGGTTTTAATTTATGTATCATTCAATACAGAGATTATTTAATCCCTCTTCCAGGGAGACCTGGGCGAACCCCAGAGCAGAAGTGGGTGAGAGCCATAAAAACAGGAAGAGCATGCAAAGGCGAGAGGAAATGTGTGCTGAGTGTGCTGGCTTAGGGCAGTGCCAAGCTTACCCAGCAGTCAAATTGCCCCCCCAAGTCCCCAGATCCTCTGCCCCATCCATCCCCAGAGAAAGCTGACTTAGTGCTGAGGGATCACCAGGGAAGTTTGTAATGGGGAAGATGATCGTTTCCCCTCAGAAAGACTAAACTAGTTAACACAACCTGCAGACCTGGGATGTTTCAGCTGTTACTTTATCTCCAGTTGCAGGATTCATAGATCACAATAAAATAAATACATGTATGTATATAAATATCTGCACATATATAAAGTGCTTATTTATTTGCTTTCAGTGGGAGTTCCAAAACACTGAAAATATCTTAGGTCATCTTAGGTCCAGGCCCCTTGGTACAGGTGGTGTGGCTGTCACCTCCAGTCGCCAGAGCAGCTCGGGACTGGGAAGGTGACCGTGTCACCAGCAACACTGTGAAAAAGATAAAAATCTTGCAGTATTACTCAAAGCCAAGGGCTGCTGTGGAATTCCTGCTTTAGCCCCTAGAAGTTCTCAGAGCATGGGTGATCAGCAGGGCAGGACAGTGCCAACCTCAAGCGAGCCCTGCCCTGATTTTGGTCCCTGCTCACACCCAGTACGTGGTGTGAGTGCTCAGATGAGGGTACCCAGCACAGGCAGAAGACAGCCCTGCTCCCTCGCACCCCATCCTCACCTCTCCAGCTGGTTTCCCACAGGAAATTCAAAGCCAAAAGCATTTGTGTGCTGGTGATTCCCCAGGACCTCCTTGACCATCCTTCCAGGCCACCACTCTGCTGCCATCTATCCCCTGCCCCCTGTGCCCACACTGGAGACCAAAGGGTGGTGGCAGACCAGGGACCACGCCACAGGGATGGTCATGTGCTCACACCGAGTGGCTGTGGGACAATCTCCCTGCAGCCCATAGGTGACCACTGTGGGATGTCCCTGGGACCTGGCAAAGGGCCACGGCCAAGATAAAGGTAGGCAGCCCTGAATAGGTTGGGAATGGGGGCATGATCCCAAATATTACAGGATCTGGGGATGGACAAAATTACCCTTCATCACTGGAGCCTGACAGCCTGTTCACTTGTCCTCGATCACAGGTGAAAATTTATTGTAGCCAGGTGCGGGTCAGTCTCTTCTCCCAGGTAGCAAGGGACAGGACAAGAAGAAATGGCCCCAGGTTGCACCAGGGGATGTTTAGTTTGGAGATTAAGAAAAATTTGTTTACTGAAAGGATGGAGCAGACTGCTTGGGGAACTGGTGAATCACCACCTTGGAAGAGTTCAAGGAGCATATGAATGTGGCACTTGGGGGAACAGTTTAGTAGAGCATTTGGTAGTGCTGTGTCAATGGCAGGACTTGATATTAGAGGTCTCTTCCAACCTTAATGGTTCCATCTGAGTAGTCATCCTCAACTGCCATGGTGATGAGCCTCAGATTTGCACCCCTCTGACACCAGAACAGCCACTGTTACTGTTCAAGCCTCTTCTGCAGCCATGGGCTCTGTGCCTTCACAGATCCTTGAGAAGGCAGCCCCTACATCAGAAACTCATTTCAGTTTTGCAGACTGTAGTGCTGTTTTCAAGTACAGGCTGTCACCTGCTGTGCAAAGGTGTACAGTTACCTCCTGCAGATGCCTGAGGGTGAGGGATGAACTCATCCATTCCACAAATGCGCATGTTTTCCATGAGCTCAAAAAATGTGGGCCAAGTTCTTTGGGAGCTGGATTCATTCCACACAGGAGAGGCCAACCCGTGTGGCTGAGGTGCACACAGTGGTTAATCCCATCTGTTTCAACCGGGCCACACACAACCCCCACCATCACCTAAATGTGGCTGTGAGCACTGCAGGTCATGTCCAGCAGTGCTCAGGAGGCATCAGACCCTGGTATTAGTCCTACCTGCATGGAAGGATTTAGTGACCCAAGAGTCTTCCAAGGGGCTGTGGGAAAGACCATCCCACCTGCACCATCATCTGGGTGAACCATGTCAATGGACACCTCAAGGGTCTTCCAGGGTGGGACAAGCCCCATCAGCCAGCAACCCCAGCTAAGCTTCACTGGTCCCAGCTTTAGACACCCAGCTGAGGTGCCCAGGTGAACACAGGGACCCCTCTGTGCCTGCAGAGAAGACATTTTAGATGCCTACATTTAGATGGCATAAATCCAGAAAGTCCATGAGTCTAATGTATCATCTGTCTGGAGCTGCTTCACTCACATCAGCAGCTTGTTGGTGTCAGGACCAAGCAGAGACCATTTCTCAGCCCTTACTGTTCACTGTTTAGCTACTGGCCACTTGGTTTTACAGAATCATAGAATGCTTGGGTTGGAAGGGACCTTTAAAAGCCACATAGTTCAACCTGGGACATCTTCAACCTGATCAGGTTGCTCTGAGTCCCATCCAGCCCAACCTTGAATGTTTCCAGCCCTGGGGCATGTACTGTCTCTCTGGACAACCTGTACCAGGGTTTTACTCACTTTTAAATTACCTTAAATGAAGGTAATTTACCTTCATTTTAAAAGAAATTTCTTCCTTTTATTTAGTCTGATGTTCTTCTCCCACATTTCCTCCCTTGCCCACCAGCATGGTCTTTCCCACCTGCTGCAGCTCCTGGCATTGGTCCATAGCCATCTTCTACCAGCAGGTATTGGGGATTTAGAAAAGTCATACAGTAACATCTGCTCCAGATGTCCATTCTTCACCATGTTAAATTAGATTAAAACATCAACTTATTAATAAAGATGATACTGCAAAAGAATTTGAAGCCTGTGCTTCAGTTTTGCAGGCAATTTTGCTGCTGGCTCAGTAGAAAATGGCTTCTACATCCCAGGAATACTGTCACAATTTCAGTATTTTTGGAAAGGAGACAGGTTTTTTCACCCTTAAAAATGGAAGAAAATCACACATGTGCTAAGATGGGCCATGGCTGAAGGATATGCCTCTGAGGCAGAAAGAGCTATGTTCATTTGCCAAACCTGCTGTTAGGCAGGGGTGGGTGCTGAATGTCCACATCCAAACTGCTAATCCAGACCCTGGGCTGCTCTTGGATATTTCCTGTCCTTGTTCCAACCTGGACTTGAAAAATATTTTCCACTAAAACTGGTAAATTGCCATGAAAATAACCCTGTATGATAAATCAACCCATTCTGACAGAATATAATTCCTTGGAGATTTTCCAACCAGCTGTAACACTAATACCACTGGAAAGTCTTTAGGCATTTGTGCTTGGCTGGAAACACCAGTTCTGTGGAAATCAATAGCAGATGTTACCCAGTGTGAGATCCACTGAAGTCCAACAGCCCAGGAGTCTGTGCAGCAAAGAGAAATCATCCCATGCCAAACCCACAGTATCGCAACCTCACTAATACACACACACCCTGGACACACCTCACACTCCTTTCTCCCAGACAATCTCTCCTGGCCAAACGAGTTACACTGGTATTTATTTCCCAATGCCTTTTCCATTTTCTGGCACTGGCTATGCTGGAGAGACAACCTGTGAGCGAGCATGGCTCAATTCCCTGCTGAGCAGGAGCAGCTCCCTGACCAGAGGTAGGGATAGAGCTGCTGATAGAGTTCCATGCAAGGTGAGCAGCTCCAAAACGTGCGATGGTAGCAGAGGTGTGACCCAGAGGGCCTGAGACTGAGGGGCTGTCCTGCAGGGTTATTGAGTCCCTCTGCCATTATGGGTGCAGCCTCAGGGTGTATGCAGCAGAGACCAGGGTCACCCCAAGGTGCAGAGATCCCAGTGTCAAAGCTTAGGGTGATCTGGTTAAGGCAGGGACACCTTCCACTCACTACACCACATTGATCAAAGCCCCATCCAGCCTGCCAACTTGGCCTTGACCATTTCCAGTGATGGAGCATCCACACCTTCTCCAGGCAACCTGTACCAGTGCCTCACCAGTTCCTGCAGACTTGAGACAGATGCAGGCTCAGCTGCAGGGGTTCATCTGCCCAAACAGAGGTACCTGCAAAACAGAGGTGCCAACATCTGGTTTACTCATCACTGGATCTCTGTACTTCCAGTGGAGTATAATTATCCCTGTTAGGGAAGGTAAGCAAGTTGTGACAAAGCCAGTCCAGGGACCAGCACTGCACAAGAGGGAGTTTCTACCTGTGAGCTGTGAAGAACTGTGCTGCTGTGTTATGATTTCTGTATGAAAACTGGCTATCATGCTGCACTCCAGCTGCATCTCACAAGAATAAAACAGTCCCCTCTCCTGGCACACACAAGAGTCATATTCACTGCCTGCAACACCTCAGCTTTTACCAATTTATTCTGCAGCTTAATTAATTGAATCTTAGAGTGCTTTGAGAAAGGAAAAGTGTTTAAAAAGCACAAAAGAGCCATTAATATCAGATGTCAAGCTGTTACAAGGAAAAACTGTGCTGCTGGTGTTTTCTTGATTAGTCAGGACACCCTAGGTTGTATTATCTCATTTGCAACTGTGACAGAAAGTGATACCAGCCTCTCTTAGGAAAAGTAATTTTATTCTGTTGAAGCCATAAGTTTCCAAGGAGAGAGTAAAGCTCAGGAGCCATAAATCATGCCTAGATAAGAAGAATCTCAAACAGTGGGTTTTTTGCGGGATGTTGCTTGTTCTGTGATAATTGCTTGATGTTCAGGATTTCCCACTGCCTGCTCAGACATGCAGCATAGAAGAGAAATGCCCCATGCCAGTTACTGTTCTTAGCATTTAAAATCTGAGCATGTTAAGACAATTTTAATAATACTGTTGCACATCTGCCCAAATCCAATAGAGCTGCTGCACCTTAGATTTCAAGGATTGTACACTTGCTGTGAGAAGTCATGGCTACAGCGGAGACATGCTGGCCCAAGCTAGGAGGAGCAGCAACAGTGGTGGCAAATTGACAATGCAGACCTCCTGAGGTGCCTCAGCTTTGCTGCCTATCAGCACGTGAGCTCCCACATCACTGCATCTGCAGAGCTGCACAGGAGATGCTGGTGGACCTGGGATGCAGGAACTGCTGAGTTCAGGTGCAGGGAAGCTGCTCTGGGTACAGAGCCCCAGGAACTGCGTGGCTGGCTGCTGTGCAGTGCCACACAGTGAAGATGGGTCATAAATAAGGCCACACAGAAGGTGCAAGACAGCTGTGGGAGCAGCTACCTCTTCTCCCCAGTGCTCGGGCTGCACTTGAGAGCTGCTGCCATCACATCTGCCTTCAGAGGCTGCTGGGGATCCTGGGGCCCCTCTCACCCCATCCTAGCATCCCCTAGGGTTTGAGCTGGCTTCTTTCCTGCCTTGACAGCTGCCACATAGCCCTAGAGGAGTACCAGGATTGAGACAGGGCCTCATGAAGGAGTGGGAAATCAGCTCCACAGCTGTCTTAACAGCAGACCAGGCATGTTTGAGTGCAGACATGCAAAGTTCAGTTAGGAGCAGTGACCCTTCCCCTTGTACTCAGCATTCCTATAGCAAAACACCACAGACTTTACCCAACTACAACCCATACTGGCACACAAAAGCTGCCTTTCCTTTTGAGCAAAGCCAGTTCTGCTTGCAGACAGCCTCTCTTTCTCCATAAACCAGCAGTGGCCCATGAAGGGTGAGTCAAGGAATCATCCTCCTCTCTTTCCACTCGTGCCACTGCTTCCCCACTTCGTCACCATCATTGGCATCCCCAGCTTTCCACTTGCATCACTGCTGAACAGAATGCCACCAGGCCAAGGTGTGCTGGGCTGGCACACACATCTGGTTGCATTGAACACAGCCCCTGAGCTAAAGAAACAACTCTGTCCCATCATGAACCAGCCAAATCTCCTTTTCCCTCTAAATCCATCCATGCCAGCTCAGTCTTGCTGCAGGATACATGATACAGGGAGGCAAAACTGCCATGTTAGTAACTGAGTTTTCTTCAACCCAGGACAGGCCACCACCAACACAGCACTGAGATGGCAGCACCAGCTTGCTCACTCCTGAGACTCATTATGGGATGCTATGGTAGATCAGGGATCCACACCAATCTGGCACTGGAGGGAGAGACACAGATGGGTGTGAGAGGAAGCAACCACGTATGAAGGACTACCAAATGCCTCTTGGAGTCCAGCCAAAGTAAATGCTGCTGAGACAGGAAGCCTCCCTCCTGCAGCCAACTGCACCAAGAGATCCAAAGGCCCTTGATGAGCCAAGCCCTAGGGAAGGGCAGCACTCCTGTGCTCTTCTCCAGCAGTGGCAGATGTCTCTGTCCCCCTCATCTGGCTGCAAACACTTGCTGGTCCCCTGCAAAGCCCTGATGTGTGCCCAAGCTCCAGTGTCGCAGATGCTGGGGACATGGCTCATGCTGGCAGAGAGAAGAAGAGGTGAAGAGTGAGCAAAGAGGATGAGCAGTACAGAAGAGGAGCTGGTTCCACCTCTGACATTAAGGTGTCTGTGTGTGTGTAGGCTCACCAGGTGGGTCTTCAAACAGCAAAACAAGCGCTGCAGCCCAGGATCCCTTCTGCCTCTCCTCCCACCTGACAGTCCATGGTCCCCCCATGCTTCAGGAGCAGTCAGCTCTCAAGGGAGACAAGGCAGGTGGCAACAGATTTGAATCCAAAAGTGTGGCTCCCAGATCTGCTGAGAATTGTGAACAGACAGGAGGGCTTCAGGGCTAAGACATTCATGGGCTTAGAACCTTCAGAGACTACCACATCTTGAAGACTCAGGGTTCAGACCTTCAGTGGTCACCAGACAGGAAGGAAGGGTTGGGGGAAGATGACCTTGGTATGGCTAAGGAAAAATGCTTTCCCATCATGCAAAAAAAATGGTCAGTGGGTCTTTCCTTGAAGCAAGATCCATACAATTTCAGATGTCTGGAAAGGCCTGAAGACTATGAGATACAGCCAGCTGCATCCCCTCTACCAGTGGGACACCAAAGAAATGAGCAATGCAGCCAACAGCAGGACCTTGCCCTCATTCCACCCTGCTCCCTGCTGTTTTCCAGCCCCAAATCCTTGCAGTCTTGCCTCCTTCTCCTTTCATCAAGTCCCAGTAACCCTCTGTAACTCCTGTCCTCCCCCTAACCACCACCATCTGCTCCTTGGAAGGGATGGGCTTCTGCAGAACTCACTGCCACTGCATAAGTCTCAGTGTCATCACAGCCAGAAAGAAATTACCTCGTACCACATTTAGTGTGCATTTTCCAGAAGAAGCATCTTGACACCTGCAAATCACAGAAACTTTGTGGCCTGCACCGATTAAACCCGAACATTTTACAACAGACAGAACTCGAGTTACAGTGGTGGTGGCCCCAAGTGGCATTGCCTTGGGCCTCCTAGTTATTCCCCAGTCAGTTCATTTTTATTAATGTCACTACAATAAATACCAGAATGAAATTGACAGCATTTGGCCACGTATCTTAAAGCATTGCTCCACTCCTCCTTCATTCCATGTATCTGCAGCCTTGGTTTCTGTCCCTATCAGTCATCAGAAGAGCCTTTAGGGACAATCCGTTTAACGATGTGACCAGCTAGGTAATAAAAGCCATGCAGAACCGCGGCTGTGGCATCGATGACCAGTAAGAAGGTGCCCCCGATCCCAGTGGCCATGTCTTTAAGGACAGAGGGAATGGCACAGATGGAGTGGTAAGGGAAAGCAGCAAGGTGAAGGATGAACCCCACGGGGATGCTCAGGATCCTGTAGGTGAGGGACACCACATCTTGAACAATCTGGAGGAAGCCCAGAAATATGTTGATGATGACTCTCCCAACATCATAGGGGATGCTGATGAGCACCATACTGATGGCTTTAAGGTAGGACACGATCCCATTCCACAGGCTGTAGACTCCATTCAGAATTGTACCAACAACTTGCTTTACAACAAGCCACAGAAAATAAAACACAAATTTCACCAGCTCCACAAAGATGTAAATGAGGAGTTCCAGAAGTTTGATGAAAGGGGTAGCAATGATGCCAGCCACTCTTCTCACCCAGCCACTGTCTTTGGTCTCCTGGTTGTTACTTGCTCCTACTTGCTCTCCAGAACAGATCTCACTGACAACTTGCAATACTGCTTCTCTTTTCTCCTGGCTTTGTTTGTTTTCCCCACAGTTGCCCTTGAACAAGTGAACTCCTGGTAGAAGCTGCTTCTCCAGCTCTCTCACCGTGAGGTCTGCCAAGCTGTTTTCATCGCTGATTTTTTTCACTAGTCCCAGGGACCATCCCTCTGGAGCATCACAGCAGGCTGCCAGCCAGAGGCTCTCTGGCACTGACATCTTGCCATTAACTTGGACACTGGAAGGAATTGCACCTGCAAGGAGATATAGATGATCCATCTTGGAACAGTGAGGGGTCAGAGCTTGCTCTACTACCTTCCCAATGTCTCTGTGCCAGCTTTTGCTCAGAGCTGGGCTCAGAGGGACAGCGTTCGTGAGTGTGTAAGTGGCCACTTGGAAATCCTCCTCATTAAGCAAACTGGGATTGAGAAGGCCTCTCTCATAGCCAGAGCCCTTGTAGTCTGAGGTCAGGGCTTGATTTACACCAAGGTTGGCCACAGTGCCACCGATATCAGCTTCATGCACCATTTCATGCAAGTCATTTTCTGGATCATCTATCTGGAAGAGTAGAGAGAAGAGTTACTGCATGCAATTCACCTTCCTAGAAAACAATGTGTAAAATGGGCCTTGATATATACTTTTCATTAGGACTACTAGTACATGCTGTGCCTTGGATTATATCCTTACTTTCCTTGAAGTGCTTCAGAGGAATGCATTCTCTACTTAATGTCTCTGCCAAACACATTGGTTTAGGCTCCAAAGGATATTTGCAACTCTCCAGTCTGGTACACAGCACACCGCAGACTTCAAAATCTCACCAGACATCATATACCAAGCCTCTAACTTTTAATTTGTCCTAGAAAAGATTTTTAAGACCAATTGATGGCTAGATTTTGGGTCATGTTTTCACCTCCTTCTGTGGTGGTAACTGCAGGCCATTTAAGAACTTAACCATGCCACCTTAAGCCCCTCTGAACTATCAAATTCAAGCCATGGGGAAAGAAAATAAACCAAACAAGCCATGGTGGATAAGATGTCTAGAGCAGGCATTTACCTCTCACTACTTATTGTGTAAGAAGCAAGAATGAAGCCAGACATCATGTCAGGTGACCTGAACTACCCCACCTTGAACAGGAGACACAGCAGTGAGCCCCTATGGCTATTGCAGGGCTGGTCATCAGTATTCTCCTGTCATTAACAGTCTGAACCTCATCCTTAATGACCACACAGCTCCTGGCATAACATGGGTGAGGGTGCCATCCCCAAAAGTCCTCGATGGAATCTGTGCTACCTGCTTGTGTCTGCGGTTCCCATGCAGTGGAGCCAGAGGTAGCAATTACTGCAGCGGGAATTTGTCCTAGAGCCACACATGAGGGAAGGGGCAGGTGGAAGTGGTAAAGAGCAGTAGGAGGAGAAGCACTAAATGTCAGGGTGTGTTCGGGTCTTTCTCAGGTGACCACAGGTCTGTCTGATCCATAGTTATTCTGACACTGCCTGCAGCCGCTCCAGAGGGCTCTTCCAAATTGTCATTTTGTTCCTCAGATTAGAGGGTGAACATATTGCCAGAAGTTCAGGGGTGGCAGACAATCTCTGGCAGTCACTGCCTTCTGTAGTCTCTGCTTCAGAGGGTGTGGCCCTTCAGTCCCAGCACTGTGCTGGCCCAATTAAACCTTCTGCCTTTGCCCCTGGCCTATAAATTGTTTACTGTACTATCTAATGTGCACTTTGGAAACATCTACGGCAGACAGTTCATGGTCTACATTGAATCATTGACAGGTCGTCCATCCTTGTCTCTTGACCACCCTGCAGTGTACTTGGACAGATATCCAATTACGTCCTTGCAACCTTACACAGAGTTTGCATCCTCTTAGTGCCACATCGCCTCCTCACAGTTCTTCACCAGCCTGTGCTGAGAGTCAGGGTGGAAGGGGCAGTGTCAGCAATTGTCCATCACCCTCACCTGGGAACCAAGCTCTGGCTGGCCTCCTGCATCAGCCAAACCCCTGCAGTCAAGGCACAGAGCTCCCTCTGCACCAAGCTTGGTCACAGTGCCAAGCTTGGCTATTGCAGAGGGCTGCATCACCCCACCTCCTGCTAAGGAGCTTTCATACTGTTTTTTTTTAAGCATCTGGTGCTTATTGCTTCAGAACTGGGAGGACCACAGTGACACCCATGTGCTGATGCACAAGTCACAGCTTCTTCTAAATGCACTGCTTAAAAAGTACTTATTCTGCTCCTCTTCCTCAGTCACCCCAAAAAACAGGCTGCAGCTGGCTGATGAAGCCAGACATTTTGCATTCCACAAAAAAATCGCTGTCTCTTCCTGCCCTCCCTTCCCTTGCCATTCTCCCCTTCCGATGAGATGATGGTGCGTCATGGGACAAGGGATGCACCCAGTGTGTTTAATTGCATGGAAGTGGTGAGGGGGATTGGACATAGCTGTGAGGCTGTGCCCAGGAACTCTCCTCAGTGCTATAACTCTTTGGAGTTTTACATCCTCTCAGAGACTCACCCATCTCACTTCCATGGTGAGTACCGCCATACTACAAGGATACATAGAGCTAAGATTGATCAGCTCTGCCCCCTGGCAGAAACTGACAACCTACACAAAGCAGAATAAACTTAATTTCTCTCTCCCTATGAGCTGCTGCATGCAAACCTTGAGGAGCCTATCAAGAAAATACGTCCCTGGTTACCTGTCCAGGGCAGGCCTTTGCACATACCATTGAGATTATTTGGGTGCAATTAAAAAAGAATATGATAAAAATGCAGCTATGTGCTGTTCATGCGTAAGGCATTGACATCACCTAATTATGCTTATAATATCTCCTATTATGGTTTGTAATAACTAATGTGTACCTGAGATTTTCATGCCTCCTCCAGCTCAGTCCCAAAGGCAGGCCGTCTCGGCACTGCATCTAATCTGCATTGCAAGATACCTTTCATCCCTGCTTCAAAAAGCTTCTGGCTTGTGTCACCCCACAACATATCTGTGTCCATGGAGTCAGCCATGAAGCCACCTGTCCAAACAGCTCAGGGCAAAATCCAAGCAGACAGGTAAACTCCTTATCACAGAATGGAGATTTAAAAATAACTTATGTGCCTAAAGCCTGTAGGGATGTTAACACATAACAATACTGATGTGTGTCATTAAGTGGAGGGTGTAGTTTCACAGATGGGACAGAGGCAGAGGGGGATTAAAAGTGTGGCAACACACAGTTATTAGGGCAGGCAACTTCCATTGAGTTTGGTCATTTAACAAGGCAGGACACTGCCCCCCCCACCTTCCCCGCCCTGGTATGTAGGATCCCGAAACTTCAGCTTCCCTCTCCCACCGCTACTTCCTCAGGCACCCTTATACCTTTGATTGCAGTGGAAATGTTTGATCCAGCCTTAGTGTGGGATTCATACCTCAGGGAAGAGGCACACTGCATCTTATGCTGAAGTTTCTGTAGTGGGACATTCTCGAGTGGCTCTAGAAGAGCCTGTTCTCTTGACACTTTACCAAGAGAGATTGCAAGAGCAACTCGGAGGTAGCTGCACTATAGCTGGGCAAGAATCCCACCTTGGTCATCTGCCTGGTGGTAGCCATTAGCCAAATGAAAACGCAAGGTAATTCATCCAGCCCCTCATAAATTAGGCTGGAAAAAGCAACTCTGGAGTTTTCCATCTCTGTCTAAGCTACAGAAAGAATCAAACACAGAGATTTTCAGACAACCAAAATGGAATGAAGTAGAAGACACCTAAGTGACTTGCTCTCAACCCCTAGGAATTCTGTAGCAGAGCAGGTTTTCAGACCTTCACCTGGGGGAGTCCCATCAGTACCCTGCTCATCAGCCTACCCTTCCTGCTCTCTAATTTTTCCCTAATTGCTGAATTAATTAATTGTTTCCAGCTGCCAATCCGCAGCGGGTGGCACTGACATTCCTCACACTTCTCACCCAATTACTGCCTCTCTGCTACATTTGGCACTTGTTTCTCAGGCAGACAATCCTGAGGAAGGAGCAAGATGTTGCCCTCACCACTTACATCATTATCCCCCCAAAAAAGCATATGACAACCTTGAGGCCCTCACTGGAGTGCTGAGAGTGTTTTTATAGTGATTTATTTCCCTTTGCTGTGTGTCTGCATCTGCATGTGCAAGCACATGCCACGGTGCAGCTGAGCCAGCTCATACCCAGCTATCCCTGTCTTGGCAAGGAAATTACGCAGAAAACTGGTGATATGAGCTCGCTGGGCTATGCTGCAGAGCAGGTGTTGCTAAGGGTTCACTTCAGCAGCCATCTGATCTAGCTTTGGTAGAACATACATAATGGGTGTGGAAGCTCTTCCCCACTCTCTCCTCCAAGTGGCAGTGTCTGAGAGGGCTGTGTGCACTTATTTCTTGAGTTACAGGAATTTTTCATATTCTTGATTTCTTTCCCTTATATATTCTTTTTGAGATTTTTTTTTATTATTTTTTTTTTTTGGTCCTAGTACTTTTCTGTCTCAGTCAGAGGTTCCTCCAGGGAACTGCAGAGTTGCTAACTTCTGCTTCTGAGACATGTGCATTTCACTAGCAGATGAAGGAGGCCCATTAGTGTCAAATAAGAACTATTGTCAACCTGTGAGGCTACTCTGGAGAAGCCAGAGCAAATAAAGGTAGCACCTGTCCTATTATTTCTGAGGCTGCAAAAGGTTTTGGTAGCAGAACACACAAGGTTTGGGACTCTGGAGCACTGGCAGGAGTCAAGACAAGGGGTCAAAAGGGATGGAGCAGGAAGGGCAGAGAAGCCATCTAAAGGGAGATCCAGGGGAATTGAAGTTACTGGGTGAGGGGGAAGGAGGCTACCCACTGCTCCATGGCAGGAACAGCTTCTGAGCCTACCTATGGAGGTTGGAAGAGCTGGACCACAAGAAGTAGGAGGAGATATGAGGGCTTGAGGTGATGAAGGGTGTCACTGGCCAAGGCAAATGGGAAAGGATCTCATCTCTGCTGCTTTACCTTGCTGCTTCCATGGCACTGATCAAAGATTCTTGACAGCCTAGGTCCCCTTTACGCTTTAAATATTTGCCACCCTTACAACAACTCAGTAATGACAGTCTGCAAAAAGTTTCCTCTGTTTTAAAAGGGCAAGCTCCCACAGCTTGCCTATGAAGTGCAAGGAGCTCAGATCAAAAGGCCCTTAGAAACTCCTCTAACTCAAAACACAGCCCAGAGAGCCAGAACACAGTCCAGGCGGAAGATAACTACTTAATATCTCCTGTCTTCAATGCCTGTGGCCTTATGGCCTTAGTATCTCATCACCACACACGAGAAAATAAGCACAGCATTCTCCTGGCAGAAGGGTGAGCTTTGATTGTGGCAATATCCAGGGCCACACTCCTAACACACTGCTCTGAAACTGCAGCCATTCCTGCCCTAAAAAAGCACCCTTGCACACTGAACATCTTCCCTGAGCTCAAATGGGGTAGCCTAATGTTGCTACAATATTCCTTATTATCACTGCTGAAAAACCTAAAGCATTGGGGTGGAAAAAAGGAGAGCTAAAGTTGTCTTAGGGCACCACCATTTTTTTAAGGATTTCCTTTAAACTGAACAGCCTGAAGGCCTTGCTTAAACATTCCAAGTGTCAGGGTAGACAAAAACCACTGAGGCTCTGGCAAAATTCATTTTATACTGCATACCTCTGACCTGACTGAAGTCTGCACGCCCCAGGACACAGCAACTCATTTTCCTACCTCAGTCTACGGCACTGGGACACACTGAAAAGCTGCAGCATCAACTTGGTGAACCACAAATGGATGCTTTATCTCTGCCCAGTGAAGCTAAAGAACCCCTATCAACACTGTGATCATACTGGCAAAAACAAACTTGAACTTGACACTGCGATGTTTAACCCACCAGCAGTGCTCCCTGCCCACAAGAGCTGGCTGGGCAGGACAAACACATCACTGGTGTCAGAAAGGGCTTTCCTCTCCCCTGGCACTGCACGTTCATGCAGCAGCCTCTCAGTTTTCATTATAAGCTCCCTGGGACAAGAAACTATTTGTTTGCTCAGTTCCAAGCACAAAAATAGGTTCTGCTCATGCTAAATTCATACCAAAAGAAGTTCAACAAGCAGAGTTCCTGACTCCTTTGCCAAAATTCTAGCCCCAGCTTCGCCCCAGAAAAAATGTTCTCCAGGAGCAGTTGCTTTACAGCGAAGGAAAAGCTGCCTTACCTGCGGTTCAACCAGCCAGTTCTCCTCCTCACTTTGAGCTGGCTTTGTAAACTTAAAAGCTGAATAAAGAGGGATTTTGTCCTTAGTACTGTAGAGGGTTGCAAAGCGTGGCTCTTTGTTGTACTGCTGACAGATTTTCACATGGAACGGCTCCGTAAATCCTTCGGGTGGGACTTGTCCAGGGAAGAACACGTTACACTCGGCAAAACCAGTTTCATCCTCTCTAACAACTCTGCCCTGGGAAAAGCCTGGGAAAACTGAGATGCAAAGCAAGAATACAATTGACGTCTTCATGGTCCACTCCCTGGAGCCGAGGGAAGCCCCGTCTGCCTCCGCTGGGTACGGCAAAGGACCTACGCTCAGAGTCCATGCAGCAGCGAAGCCAGAAAGCGTCTGGAATTCGGGTGTAGCGTGAGAGGGAAATGAAATACGAAACCACAGCCGATCCCTTCGGGGAGGCAGCGCGATCTGCAGGCAGCACGCTGTTCGTCGGAAAGCGAACGTGCGCCAGGCTGCTCTGACACACGCTGCGGACGCCAACTGCCCGCAGGAGATGATGCCAAGCAACCTGAAATCATCCGGCCTCGTTGGGAAGAGGAGGAGGGACGCCTATGGCAGCGGCAGGGCTGGAGCAGAGCAGCACCGGCTGTCCAGGCTGGGGCTCAGCGCCGGCGGGGGTGTGGTGTGCTGCATTGCAGCAGTCCCCGGCAGGAATTTTGGCTGACACAGCCAGAAATGTTCCTGAGGCTGTCAAAGGGGATGCTGCAAAGTCAGATTCACCACCCCAAAGAAGGTATTAGCTGTCCTCTCCAGCTGTGAGCCTGGCCAAAGGAGAAGGAGAGAAAGAAGAGAGGTGGCAACACTGGAACTGCTGGGAGCCCCCTTTGTCCCTTTTTTGGGGTGTCTGTCATCACTACTGCTGCCAGCCACATGCTGCTTAGATGCTTGGGAACGGCATTCACCTCTCATCTCTCCTGACACTGTATGGGGAATTCAAAACCCTCCAGGATCACCTCATCTTGGGAGACCCTTTCTCAGAAGAGATTAACAACAGGCAGAAGGCTGAACACCCTCGGATCGCATACCGCTAATCAGCACCCACCACAGGACATTTTGGCCAAACCTGTGGAACTGGCAAAAAAAAAGGAAATGAAGCTGCTCCTTTGAGTTTATGTTCAGCAGAAAAACCATTAACCCAATAAACAGCTGCCTATGATACCTTGGCTACTGCTGGGTAAAAACAGTATTCCTTTAGTGACTGGGAAAATTGGTGTTTTCAAAATAGTGAAGATGGAAAGGAGATTGCAGAGCAGTACCTTGGAGTCAAGAAAAGGCAGCATTTTCCCACCCAAGAAGTGAGATGTAATCATCTGTGTTGCCAACAATTTTAAAAAATCCTAGATGCCAATAGGGCACAAGTCCCTTTTATAATACAATTTCCAAGCAAAAAACCTCCCAAGTGCTATCATCCCACAAGTACTTTGCAGACATGGTAGGATTATGTCCATATTGAAAATTATGAAGTGGGACAGCGAGTGGTTAAAGTGCCTGCCCAAAGTCAGAGAAGGAGTCTATGAAAGGCTAAAAATAGACTGCACTGTATGACTATCATTCTTCTACTCAGGGATGACTTCTGGAAGTATCAAGACAAGGAAATACGTCAACACCTCTTGGTGTGGTGATATCAGCTAGGGGAGACAGAGGCAGGCTGGACAGGCTGGGGAACAACAGGAAATGCAGTAAGTGGACTTGGGGTTGGTCCAGGCAGACGACTGGTCACCCAGTCCTGCCAGAAAGAGTTAGTCATGTTCAGGAAAGATGATGGAAAGGAAAACACAGACATAAAATTTCATTTTCCTGGATGTAAAAAGGCTCCTGGAAAATCAAGAACTGAAGCTGAACCTTTGCTGTTAGGTGCTTTTCTGATCCCAGACCTGTGATTACCTGGGCAGCAGAAGAAAATATTTTCAGAAGCACGGTAAGCCCTGCTACTCAGGCAAAGCTAGGTCGGACAATGAATCTAAACCCTCCATTTCATGGCTGACATGAATTACCTCAGGATGGGCATGGTCCTAATACAATGAAAAGACAGCATGAGGTGTCTCGAGATGTGCATGACAGCAGGCACTAGCACGCTAAATAGATCAATGATTTCCACCAGGAAACATCCTGCCTCTGTCCTGGACCTGTGAATCAACTTCCTGCCTCAAAGTGGCACCTCTGTCTCATCAGATGTACAGCCCCAAGTTGTCTTCTGAGCCTCAAGGTCTTTTATGGGCTTTTGGGAAACTCTGAGGAGCTCTTTCAGGGTGTGAGGCTGGGGTCTGTCTGCCAATTTAGCTCTGTATGTACCAGCAAACAGATAAACCTGACTCATTCTGAAAAGCAGGAGCTTCAGATTCTCACCTCCCATGAGAAGTATCAGTTGAAAGTCAGCACAGAGTCAACTTCTCTGCTCCCAGTTTGATTTTCTGTCCAAGCAAGGTACCTTTCCAGTTTCTATCTAATTTAGTATAGCTGCTGTGACCCTTGAACACAGAGCTGTGTATTTTTTTCTCTTGCTAACATCACTATTACTAAATGGACCAGTGTCAGCATCATGCTGTGGCACTCACCATGCTGAAAAGATGAAAACAAAAGGACTGCTCTACCCAGGGAAGGTTACCTCCTCAGCCAAGGGACCACAGACAGAGGACTCAAGCACAGTGAGATAGAGTTGGCCAGAGGTTTTGATGACTCTGTGCTGCAGTAGCTGTCTGCTAGCAGATGCTTTTACAGGCAACACAGGGAGTGATGGCCATAGGCCGTGATAGGGAGTGATGCCTACAGGGGCTAATGCCAAAAGGAGTATTAAGATCAGATTCAAAACAGCCCTATGCCTGTTGATGTGAGCAGAAGGGCTCTGACAAAATACACATTGGGTTGGCAATGAGCAGTGTGAGCTGGTGGTGTCAGCATGAACTGTGCCAGCTGTGTGGCCTCACGGGACCTGGGGCTGCCTTCTCCAAACCCATCAAGGGGTGACGGTGCAATAACCTGAGCAGTGTCAACAGTGCGGGCAAGACCCTGCTGTTTCATATGATGGAGCAGAGGGAACCTAGGGAGGATGCAGAGTGATGTGGCCAAAGGGACACATGAGAAAAGTGATCATAGAATCACAGAATATCCCAAGTTGGAAGGGACACACAAGGATCATTGAGTCAGCTCCTGGCCCTGCACAGGACATCCCCAAGAGTCACACCATGTGCCCAAGAGTGTTTGGCACAACAACTCAAACTCAAACTCTGTCAGGCCGTTGCTGTGACCACTGCTCTGGAAAGCCTGTTGCAGTGCCCAGCCACCTGACACCAAACCTAAACCTCCCCTGACTCACCTTCAGGCCATTCACTTGGGTTCTGTCAATGGTCACCACAGAGAAGTGCCTGCTCCTCCACTTCCCCCCATGAGGAAGCTGATCACTCAGTGGTAGGCAGAGGTGTATGGGAGATAGGAGAGGCTGTAGACAACAAACTGCATAGACACAAGAGTTTGCAAGCCATGACAGAGGTAAAGCATGTTGAGGAAAATTAAGAGAGGTTGGAGAGAAGGAAGGGCAAGAAAAGAGGTAAGGACCCAGAATATGGTATTGAGCAGCAGGAAAAGGAAGATATTAGGCAAAAATTAGAGTTGAGGAGGATCTGCATTCCTGAAAATCTGGGGTGCTAAGAAAAGGTGAAGAAGGAAAACAAATGGAAATAGGTGTGAGGAAACTCAGGAGGCAGGTTGTGACAGGTCAAGTGATATGATGAGAGAAATCTGAGGAAAGTCTCTTGTGATAAGAAAATTAGTTGAAAATACAAAGAGGAATAGGGGGAAAGGAGAATGAAAGGTTTACTTCCATCTTCATTGACCTGACATAGATGATCGGTCCTTCTGTTCTCCAAGGGTCACAAGCATCAAAAACAATGTCTCAAAAGGAGGAATACCTCCCTGCAAAACAACCTGAAAAGCATGTCAGCATCCAAACTCTCTAGCCATTAAGAAGCTGCCAGACTTGTCTGTCTGCTTTCCCACACTGCTTCTCCAGCCCTGTCTCTGTTCACACGACTGACACTGGATTTGTTACAAATAGAAAATCTATCCCCTCACATGCTTGACCCCTCTACCCTAATCTTTCAAAATATTCTTGACTCCAAATATTTTTCCAGGCTCAATCTCCAGCCTCCTCTCATGGCCTCTGTGAGACTCTAGTGTTGTATGTGACTGTTTCTTTCTCCTAAGAAAAGGAAGAAGATAGTGTCACCAAGGACAAGTAGTCTCATGAGAAAGACACCATTTGTTTCAGTAGGCATACCAGGCTTGGACTTGGAGCACAACACTGCCAGCAGACATGCCATGGCATATCAGAGAGCACATCTGCCTCCTCACTGTCTCATGGGGAAACAGTCTCTTTTTAAAATCATTTGAAAATCTTGCTCTGGGAAGGAAGCCCAGTGCTGAGCTACAGGGAAAAGCAAGAGTGAAACAATTTTCCTATTGTAACTAAGAGATTCAAGGGCAAGGGGAGGGGGTGGGCAGAAGGACAACAAACTCTTTAGGGAAGAGCTTGAAAACACATTTTTGGGATTTTGATTCCCACCTAAAGTGAGGTTTTGATGCCAATCTCTGCTGCCTTTTGTCTTCACACCTTCCCCACGGTGCTGGTGAGGAATGGCCCTCCACTGGCAGTGCTGCTTTGTTGCTCAGCTGTACCATGATGCTCACTAGCAAGGGTGGCCTGTCAGAGACCATGAATTGCCTCAGACTGCCAGGGATGCTGATCTGGCTCCTCTGCTTCTTCACTTGCATTTTCTCCTGTCCAGACTCAGTGTCCACCCACAGCAGACAGTGGATGCCCTGAAGTGGCGTCACAGCTGAAATCAGAAGAGAAAAAAAGCATGAAGTTTTAAACAAAGAATTATAGTGGACATTGTCCATGGTGTACAATCGGAGGAACAGGGTGGCAACTGGGAAGAGTGAAGCACCCAAGCTGCTCTATGGATGGTAACACCATTAGGACAGAGACATATTCTCATTTTGTACAAAAACTGCACAGTGGAAATCTGACAGGCACCTTGTAAACCGAGAAGTATAAATGCTTTGCATAAATACTGAATAAAATTAATAAAATCCAAATGCTGCTTCCTTTGGCCTTTTATCACAGTCTTCATACCCAAGAGATCCCAGTTAATCTTCAGACTGTTTAAAAGAAGCACAATGACAATCCCATGCTAGACAGCAAAAGCAGGATGGATATAGAGTAGCAGTATAAGGCAATGTTTTTAAGGCTTCCAAACGACCACAATGTAAATAAAAGTGTAAATGATTATCTGTCAAAATGAGCTATTTAGAAATGTGCTGAAAGCTCCAGTACTTCCATTCTTTAAATTAGGAGGTGCTTTTTAACATGATAAAAAAAAAAAAAAAAAAAAAA